ATTTTTCAGTTTACCAATGTAACTTAAACAATATTAAGCTGAAAGGAAATTTCCCTTTGCGGATCACTGTTACAGAACGGTCCAAATACAGCCTCACCTGTGAGTGACTCCCCCCAAGCAGGGGGAGAGACACAAGGTTGCTTTCAAAGATGTGTGCTCTCTCTGCTCTCTGCTGGTCATCTCCATGCACTGCGGGTCCCAAGCCAAATTGTCATCCTCTTTCAAAATACTACTTCCTGCAATATTTTCCTTACACACTTACAACACAGCTATGATTTCGTTCAGTGACTACAGAACTTCCACAGAGATTTCAGGAAGCTCCAGACATTTAATCTGCCCATTATTATCACTCTTCATACTGAATATAGACGCATAGGAAACATTTTTTGTTCAACATTTTTTTCCATCGTCCACTTTCCCTGACCCAGTGCTGTTGTAGACTTTGGAATCCACTCTCACACCCACCCTGTCCCATCCCAGTACAGCACCCAAGACATTCTCCAAGTTAAAGAAGCTCCAGTGTCTTGTGCTCCAATCTTTTTGCAATCCACACTTATAATGCTGCTCTCAAACCAGTCCCTGATAGCAACTGGTGGCAGAAGTTCAAGAACTTAAATGAAATAAGCTCACAAATATGATATGCCACAATATAAAGCAGTTCATAGTGACACTTATTTTTCAACTTGTAGATCTTGTTTTGACTGACAATTGTGAATTTTCCTTATGAGGTAGGCTTTGCACAACTTTGGATTGCACTAAAAGATATTCACACAAATGCCTGAGATTTGTGCACTTTCTTAAATTTTGCAACAAGGCAAATGGCTCACTTGCCTCATACTAGGTCTGTCCAAAAATCAGAGAATTCAAGGATGGGGATAATTTTAGAAGTATGAGGCTAATATTTTCACTGTGAAAAGGAGACCAGACCTGAGAAAAGAATGATCTATGAATAAAATGATACATGGTTCCTGTCACAACTGGTAATGAAACGTTCACATGATTAAAGTCCTCTACTTCTAGGCACCAGGTTTCTGAGTGAAAAAGCCACCAGGCTGCCATCAGGGCCAGAGGCCCTGGGGAATGAACTCAAGCCTGATTAGCAGGGGCGACAGTGCCTGGCAAGGAGATGAGGAGTCATGAGGCCATGAGGAGGGGAAGAATTCAACAACCCATGTGCCAAAAAACAGGCCCAGGGAACAGGTACAGGGAAAAAAGGCAGTTGGCTAATATACATGGTTAGAAAGTAGAGAGCAGGCAGGGCAGATCACACTGGATCTCCTTGCAGAACCCAGGAAAATCCAAATTTCAGGCTGCAGGTGTAACTCATAGTGGTACCTCACTAGCATGCAGAGTTCCTGAGGTCTGTCTCGAATACCTCACAATAAAACAAAAGAAAGGAGGAAAGACTAGAGAAGGAAAGAAAGAAAGAAAGATATAATCTTCAGCCATGGCCAGACTAGTCTCCCCTGAATCTGTGGACATGGGTCTGAACATGAGGAGTTTTCAGAGTCCTGCACCAGACACCAAACACAGCAGCCAAGCTTGGCAACCAAGCACGAGACTAAGGACCATGACAGTAAGTCAGGACAAAGAGATATTGCTGAATACTTTAATCAGAGAGTTTATTTGATGTGGCTGTTTTTTTTTCTTTTCTTTTTAGGGGAAAAGAATTCTTATCATTATTATTCTGTGATTTACATGAAAAATGCAGCAGTCCTACCTTGAAATGAAAAATCACAGCACTGGGGACAATTCTCTGACTTACATAGAATGGCTGATTTGAAGATCTGAGGCTCTCACCCTGAGTCTGAAGTGATCTCCACACCTCCTCCACAGGAAAGAAAAACTCTGGCCAGAGAATGAGGGCATCCAGCCTTCACTAATCAGGATGAGTAAGATTTCTGGCAGCAAATGAAGCCCGCAGCTCTTGCAAGATGCTACTCATCTCTCAGACAGCATCAGGACCTTGACATCACCCAAGGCTAAGGGAGTCCACAGGAACATCCAGGGACAACTCCAGGGACATCACCAAGGCTAAGTGCTGGGAACATATGCTCTGTGGCCACTGAGTAGATATTGCACCTAAGCCTCAGCCCATACTCCAGCCTCACCATTTAATACTGTGCATGCACTGTCACCATTTGTACAAGAAAATATCATATGGATCCTCTAATTCAGTTTTCTATGGGTATAATTGAAAATACTACTCAGTAGTTCTTAACAGCTCCCATACAATTCCCAAAGAGAGAAATGACCTTCTATGTGTACTAGAAAAGTTAGCCAGACATGAGACCAGGAATTTTCCCAAGGTGAGAAATGTGTGACATAATACCTTATTTTCTTTGAATTAGAGTTTGAGAAACTCAAAGCTAGAGCACATCCACAATCACAGAACTTTTCTCTTTTTAGAATAGTTTTATAGCACTAAATTTTACATTTATGAAAAGTGTTGTTTTCAATATATATTTCTATTGATTTTGGCATATGTATAACTATGTTTTCAAACCCCATTTGGTCTGTAAAGCAGGTCCAGCACCCATCGACATTTCTGGATGCACTCTGTTCACTCACCACAAACTCACCTGAGACTCACTGCTGCCTGCACCCTGCATAAATGCTCTAGATGTTTCACATGCTCATCCTCAGCTTCCCTGTGACGGGGACATCACAAACTTTGAATTTCTCTATGAAAATTTGTTTTCTTACCTTTGTGGAGTATACATCAGTTACTCCTATTGTTGTAAATCTGTAAGTTTCTCATGTGTAGGTGAAGCTCTCATCTTGGTGCACCCATTTTATATCTGTGCGTGGCACTGCCTACATCACCGTGTGCTTCACCTCATACCACTGAGCACATCTGTCATCTCAGTGAACACCTGGATACCAAGTAAATAAAGAAAGGCCCTTTCACACAGAGACAACTTGAAGACCCAGTGCAGAACTTTAACAATTATAAGTGGTCCATGACACTCAGCTGCATTGTCTCTGTGCTTCAGAGAACAGTCAAGGCTTATTTCTAGTTGAAAATGGAATCATGAATGGAATTGGTTAGCACATTGGAAGATTTCCGTCTTCAGAAACAGAATTCTTTGAATTAACTGAGGTGGAAAGACTGAAAGTTAGGTTGTCTGGGGCACAAAACAACATCCTTCATTCCTGTGGACTGAGGTTTCTCAGCACTGACACCTGGAAAGCACACAGGTAGCACACACAGGTGTGACTTGGACAGGTGCAAGAGATGAACTGCTGGGAGACAGAAAGATGAGGGACAAGGGCTCACAGACACCTCTAGGAGTAGGAAAGGGACAGATTCACTTCTAGATCTTCCAGACCGAAGGCATCTTGATAGCAACCTCACTGTCACACTGAGTACTGAGCTGGGCTTCTGACCTGAGGAACTGTAACATGATGACTTTTACATGTTCAAGACATAAATTCATGTAAAATTGTATTGTGAAAGTCTTTACTGAGTTTTCCTGTTACTCTTCTATTATAAAAGTTTAAAGGCACACCAATACATTTAATTTTCTACTGACCCTGTCATATTTCTTATATGGAAGAATGAGATGTAGTCTTTAGGCAGATGGAGAGTGCAACTCCCTTGTCACATGGACAGCAAACAGCAGGACAGACACTAAAATGAGGTTTTGCTTCAGGATGAATCACATGGAGAGAATGACTACAACACTGCTGACAGTCATTATGTACTGTGCCTTCAGCTTATAAGCTGTTGATGGTAACACTGAAACCTTTTCCAGATCAAAGGCCACTGAACTGGTGAGAGACCTGGGACTCTCAGGTGTGTGTGCAGTGAGCAAGCAGTTTCTGATGGAACCAGGATGAGTAGCTGATCTGCTTAACCCTAGCCCGGGCTACACAGTGATCTTAGGGCAGCCTGAACTGAGTTCCTGCCTCAAAAGCCCAAAAAGTAAAAAAGGCTTCAAAGGAATCACTGCACAAAGAACAATTTTAACTAACCTAATAATTGAGTATATACATATATGGATTTAAATATATAGCTATGTGTATACTTTTATAGATGTATATTCACTTGTGTGTATATAAATTGGTACATACTAATATGTAAATACTCATATATGGATACATTTCTATAAATAAATATTTATAATACACATTTACATGTTAACATATATTCAGACTCGTATAGTTAACATGTCCATGTCTAGATACCAGGACAATATATTCACCTCTGCCCAGGAATTGCGGCTCATTACCTAACGTACAATAATTTCTGCTTCTCTACTTGACTTCAGCAGGTCACCTAGGTCTCTACCTGAAATAAGAATATTTTTTATCTTCCTTCACATCCTTTTGACAGCAGTGTCCTTATGGAGATTAATCACTTGGCCGGGAAGACTTGCTGACATGGTTTCTAACATCATAGTAGCTCGCCTGAAAATGACAGTTGCTAAAATCGTTTCCTGGCACCAAGGTGTCACTAGCAGAAAACTCTCTGATGAGCAGTAATGGTGAGGAGAGAGTGATCTATCTTATTGGGGAGAGAACTTTGCACTGTGTTCAATAGAGACTCAGCCTTGCACAATGGGATCCTTCCTCCCGCGAATGGATGCCACATGGACTTTTTTTCTACTGCTTTTCCCCAAAATACACAAGATTTTGAGATGAAGTTTATTTTCTTCCATTTCATTTACCACTGATTCCAGAGAGACAAATAGGGAACCTTAAGAGTCCAACAGGTCCAATAAGTGAACTTTTCAACCTCTTGAAGTATTCAGAAATAAAACACACTCAGAAGATAAAAGCACCCAATGGTGCATACCTGTGACTGCAGCACAGTGGTGCCTGAGGAGGAAAATAGACAGCTGGAGATGAAGCTGAACAAGTGAACAACACAATGATACCCTGTCTCAAAATGCAAAGAACTGTTGTTGTAGCTAATTGTGAATATCCCAGGTTTAAGCCACAGCACGCGCGCGCACACACACACACACACACACACACACACACACACACGACGATGAGCACATCCAGAGAGTCTTTTATTTACAATAAAAGCACACGTTACAAAATCCTTATGTGTTTATTTTTCCATGAACCCACTTTACCAAATGTGTAAGGGTACACTGCAGCTCTTGGCCTGTCATGAAACATATAGTATCATTACAGACTGAAAACAGCATGGCTTCATTCTCTTAGGGCTTTGGAGAAAGTATGAAATTGACCTTCTTTCCACAGTGACCATTTTAGATAAGGTCCAGAAAGTTTCAGCCATTGATTCAAATGACATTGAGACATTAAAAAATCAGATTCAATAGTGACATTCTGATACTGACAATGTCTCTTTAAACTACAGACCATGGCTACTCAGTATTTGTTATAAGAGTAGAATTGAGAAGGATGATTTATGATCACTCAGAAAAGAGTAGTGTAATATTATTCTGCATTCACTTTGCACAAGATCAAGAGAAATCTTTTTTCTTAATAAAGGTTTTAATAAACCAGATAGATAGATAGATAAATAGATAGATAGATATCATATTATACTATCTACAGGGAGAGACATGATTACATATTTACCAATTTCTAAGTCTACTTACAAATAATTTCATGTGAATTATATAAGGCATATTTTTTCCTTTTAGTCTTGCCTTCAAAAGAGTTACTTCCCTCCAGCTAGAAGACAGTTACTTTATCTCTGTATCGTATTGTGTTGACTTTAGTGCTCTTATGCTGTTTAATTTCTAGATAAAGGAAAATATTGTTTCTCATCTTCTTTCTAGATGATGAGAGTTCACCTAGTCAGAAGGGCTTCACAGCTCTGCTACAGGCTGTTAATGATAGAAAATACTAAAAATGCATTCTCATCAAGTGAAAATCACTTCCTTTCCTTCCAGGAGGCCTAGAAGCACAAGACTTTTCCCCTCCCAGAGACTGATCTGCACACACTCCCATATCATAGGGACTGCAGTTCTGTCTGGGAAGGGCAGAGCCCTGAGCACTGTGTCCCTGCTGGAGGTGAGGATTTTCTTAGGGATCCCTGTACCCACTGCTGCACACAGCATGTAGTTTAGCTGCATTGCTTGCTCAAAATGCAGAAGGAATTTTATAATACTTGGCTCACATGTGAAACCTCAAACCATGTGCTTTACGCTTTCTCCACCACTGCACCCACCAGGGAATTTGCATTTTCTCCCCAGGAAAGACCTTCCCAAGCAAGTCTCAGATAAATTCTGGTTCTAACTTGGCCCTGACTGATTAGAAATCTCAGTTCAATTTCGCAAAATGAGGCTCCCTCTTCAGCTCCTGGGGGTGCTACTGCTCTGGATCACTGGTAAGGACACAGGGAGATGAGGAAGGGTATGGGAGGAAGGGGTGAATTTCTGGGTCAAACTGCTGCCTCGATGAGTTCTGTGCATACCTGAGATGTGCAGCCCTGACGTGAAGCATGGATGTGTGTATTTCTATGAGGGAATTAAGAAAATTTCTAAAGCCTCAGGAGTAGGCCTCTCATGAAGAGTGACACAAAGAAAGATATGGGTAGGGAGATGAATTCAAGAGGAATCCTTGTGATTAGATCTTGTGAGTTATTTCAAAACTAATATCAGTTCCCTTTATATTAAAATTACATAATAGTTAAGCTTGACATTTACAAAAAAGAGAACAGGGTAAAAATGCATGATGATGTTTGTATCTGAAGTTGCACTTACTTTTCTTTCTTCATTTTAGGATCCTCTGGAGATGTTGTATTGACCCAAACCCCACTATCCCTCTCTGTCACCCCTGGAGAGCCAGCCTCCATGTCCTGCAGGGCCAGTCAAAGTCTCCTTCACAGCAATGGAAACACCTATTTGCACTGGGTGGTGCACAAACCAGGCCAGGATCCACGAAGAATGATTTATCAGGTTTCCGATCAGGAATCTTGGGTCTCTGACAGGTTCAGTGGCAGTGGGTCATGGACAGATTTCATTCTCAAAATCAGCAGGGTGGAGGCTGAGGGCGCTGGAGTTTATTACAGTGTGCAAGGTACACATGATCCTGCCCCGGTGCTACAGCCCGAACACAAACCTCCCTGCCTGAGGAGGCCCAGCTGCCCTCCTGCACTGCTGTCTGGGGAGCAGCACATCACAGACTGCTCTGTGTGAGAGGAAGAGGCTGAAGAATCAGAACAACAAGTTGTAGCTGAGGCCTCTGCCTGGGACTCTGAATGAGGAAGAAAGCAAAGGAACAGAGACTGCGTTCTGCTGAGGACTCTGACACAGAGACAGAATGTTGAAACTGGCTATGAAGGGTTCCTTTGAGCTTTAAAAGCTCTGTTACTTGATGAAACCGAATGAAACCAAATCAATCTCACATTGAGTTCAGCATAAAATGAGTAATAACTAAGAAAAGGCATATTGGATATGCACTTCCATGTTAACGTATCACAGTCAGTTTGGATACAGTGAACAAGCATTTTCCTCTCAGCCTGTGTGTCACTCCTGGAGAGCTGCCTCTATCTGAAAAGGTCAAATTTGTAGAGATCTTTGCTATGCTCGCAGTGTTGTGTTCCTGAGACTCCATGGACGTTCATGAAGTGGTGCATCTTGCAGTGTTCTTAGTCTTACTGACTCCTTGGGTAAGGAAAGATCTTGGCCTGAAGAAACTTCAGTCCTGTCACATCTCTCTCATCAGTGTAGCATGGCATCCAAATCATGTTCCTGGCTGTTCACATACTGGGAATGACCTGAGAGATGTTGGAGGATTCCACAGTTGGTGATATCCAGGAATACAGCTACAATACAAAGAGGGCAAACAAATTCTCAGAAAATGTCTCACAGCTGTTAGCAGAAATTCAATTTGCATTTTATGGGACATTTTTGCCCCTGTTCTCTATTGCTACTGACAAAGATATATGGGTTTTAGTCTCCACAAAAATCTTTGTTTCCAAGCATTTTACAGGCAAACAAAACATGGAGAACTAATACTTCTAGACTTAAGGTTGGTAACTCACACATCTGCTCATCCTCATGATGGCTGATAAATCTCAAAAGGCTCCATTTCTTCCTTTTTATGAAAGTCCTCCAAGACCACTGCTATCCTCAAACTTAGGTTTAACATGAGACAAATGAAGACTCTGATAATATGCAGTTTGATACCCGTTTGCTCTTCATGGCCTTCCAGACAGCTTACAAAGTAGACATTAAAAAGTTCCTCTAATGTCATATTCCAAGTCATCATGTCATTTTATTTCCCAGTTCTGAATACAGATTTTTGAAAGGTAGGTACATCCTGGCTATATTTTAAAGTAACAAAAATATATTTGCTGACATTCTGGACATGAGCTGAGACAGAAAAACAAAATCAAATCCTGCCTTATATTTGGAAAGGATCCACCACAGAATTTTCTATGAAGCTTCCTTAGATGGGAAGACAGAAAAAGCAACACTGGGAAACAAGGGGAAATAAGGACTTGCAATGGAACATATTTCCAATACTGAGATGGCCCCGGACCTCCACTCAACAGCTGTCCCACGGAACCTGCATATGTGAGATTTTGAAGCTCTGGGAGGTGATTGTGCTTGAGATGCAAATATAAGAATAGAGTTGAAGTCACCAAGAAATGAAAGTAAGTAGGTGAGAGCAGATTGGTCCCTACCAGGCAACCCAGTTCTCAGCAGTCAGGACACAAAGAGAAACCCACACCGGAGGCTGTCGAATAGCAGTTACCTGTGGGAAGGACAGAGACAGAGAAAAAGAGAGAGAAACAGAGACAGATACAGAGACAGAAGCAGAGAAACAGAGAGATGAGGGGAAAAAAAGAAAAGGAGGTTTTAGAATCAAAACAGAGTTTTAAGAGACCTTTTACATTTCACAAATGTAAAATAAAGTGTTGAATGAATGTAGGAATGTCCTTAGGGCAGGGTGTTATAAATAGCCCAAACATTGTGCCTCTTGGATCACAGCTCTTTCTGGGCAGGGACAAGATTTGAAAGGTTACCTTTAAAAGAGACGGCCCTTTGCTTCCACCTATTGGTCAGTACTTGAAGGGCAAGTTTCCCTGAAAATTGCTAACATTCCCCTTTCAGGTGTCTTCAAATATTTTTTCTACCATGCTGTTGCAATAGCAAACAGAAAAACCAAAATGACACACAGGTTTAGGAGGCTGATTTATTTATAGTGTTGGGAAGTGACAAGAATCAATCCTTGTAAGAATGTCAGAATACAAAGACTCAGGGAGAGAGGATTTTATATATTGCAAAAGGGAAGTACACAGGTAGAGCACTTGGCTGTCTCTCATTGGTTCTTGCAATATGTATCAAAGTCACCAGCTGTGCATCACAGTGACCATCCTTTGTAAGAAGCAGAAGTAACAGAAACTGACAGGAACTGCTATCTGGGCAAGAAACAGTAACTCAGGTACCCTGGCAGGGAGCGCAGGGCTGTTTCTGCTGCACTGTGATCTGCTTTAATAAGTGCAGATCTCCTTGCCTTAAAGCTGTGAAGAATCTGATACCGCACATGTACCATTATGTCCTCAGAATATGATGTTCAAGCTCATTTGCTTAGTTCAGCAAGTTTCATTCCCAGTGTTCTTCCCCTGATTTGAACCCATTCTCTTGCCTACCCACAACCCAGGCAACTACAGGTCACAAGGCATTCTGTGCCTTGCAGCAACTCTCCTCTCTTGTACCTGATATCACAGGCTTCTTACTCTCTTCTCAACTGATCTGATGGCTACACCTAGTAATAAAACTAATCTCTATCATAAATTCAAAGAGTTGCACAAATACTAATGAGTTCCACATGTACAACAGAGCCCCTCTGACACTTTCTCTGGGATGTTCTCTAAAATAGAAATTATACTTCTCATAGAACAATCTAAAGTGTAGGTAACTGAACTGAAATTATCCCATGCATATTATCAGACCATGTAATAATGAAATTTGAAATCAATGGCAAAAGAAACCAAAGAATTAGCTCACAGGTATAGCTTAGAGGCATAAGTGCCTGCCCGGCCAGTGCAAAGTAGGGAATGCCATTCCAGATATCGAGAAAGAAAGAAAGAAAGAAAGAAATCACAAGAACTTCATAAACATATGGAAATTAAATAACACCATCCTGAACAACCAAAGGGTCACACATGAAATTAACAAAGAAATTAGACAATTTCTAGACTTAAAAGATAATAGTAGTACGCCATACTGGAACTTGTGGGATATGATGAAAGCAGTCCTATAAAGGAAACATATAGCAGTGAATATACATATCAATAAACAGAGCAAGCTCAAATAAACAACTTACTGTTGAACCTCAAAGTTATAGAAAAAGAAGAGCAGGTCAAGCCTAAGATCATGTGAAAAGAAAATTACATATCATGACAGAAATTAATGCAATGGAAACTAAGAAATCAAAGCAAGATATCAATGAACGCAACAGTTTCTTCTTTGAAAGATTAAATAGGATGGAAACAAAACCCTAGCCAGACTAATCAAAAAAAAAAAAAAGGAAGGAATCAAAAGACTAACATCCATGCAATTAGGAATCAAAATGGTGAAACTGCAACAGATCCCACAGAAATTTAAAAGTTATCTGTATCTACTTCAACAATTTGCATGCCAATAAGAGACAAATGGAGTAGAAATACACAAAATTTTTGATACATAAGAGGTACCAAAGCAAAGGGTCTGGGGATTTAGCTCAGCAGCATAAGCACCTGCCTTGCAAGCAGGCAGTTGTGAGTTGCATCCCCGGTACCAATAAAAAAATAAAAATAAAAATAAAAAAGAGTTACCAAAGCAGGATCAAGAAGATATAAAAATTCTAAATAAACCAATTTCAGTCAATGAAATTCAAGATGTAATTAAAGATATAAACATACAAAAAACCCCAGGGTTCAATTCTATAAGAAATTTTGACAAGACTTAAATGCCACTACTTCTTAAACTCTATAATGTTCATTGCAGCTAGATATTACCAGAACCTCTCCTCTCTTTGTTGCTCAGTATTTGTTGTAACTATTACCAAAAAGTTCTAGTCCAACTGTCCTACAACATTGAGCATAAAAACAGAGCAATGAAAAAAAAAACGAGCTACTAACATGCCTCAAAATTTAATAGTTCCACAGTAGCTATCTGGCAGTCAATAAAGTAAAGAAAGTGTGCAGAAAAGAACTCAGAAAACAAATGGTTAAATGTTTGAAGACATCAAAGAAGAACATGCATATCATGTTCAGAGCTCAAAGAGAAGGCAAACAAGCTAAACATTTTAATTAATAAGACATCCAACAAGAAGACACAAGCACTGACTGTACACCTCAGACAATGCAGGATGTGAATGAGGGACCTAGGGAATAACTAACTGATGGTTATAAGAAAGAAGAAAGCACAATTCCTGGAAGGGAAAAGCACAGCTGAGCACCATACCAGCAGACACCAGCAATTGGAAGAGAAAACATCAGAAATTCAGGACAAGAATGCGGTAGCACATGGTGCAGATATGCCCCATGAAATAGAAGAAGTCATGAGAAGTTGATCTGAGAGTGATAGATTACTGTTAGTTTTTATTAAAAATAAAATACAGAATGAAACAAAAACCAGTAGAAGAATATAAAAAGATAAAAAAACACAACCCCTTAACAAACTGTCAGCATAATAGATTAATATTTTGATTCTTACATTTCTGTAAAAATAAAAGTCCCAGAATAGTCTAAACAACTTCAACGAGGGAGCAAAATTAGAGCTGCAACCCTCCTCCACATAGATGGCTCAGAAGACATAACCTAAGCATTACAGAGGTCAATGAAAGGCTGGAGAAACAAGGTGAAGGTCTAAATATGTTATTCCCCCTGCACAACACTTTCAAATCTAGACACTGAAAAAAAATCCAAATAATGAGGCATTTAAAGCTCCAAGTAGCTACAACCAGAAAAGAATCTCTCCACAACACATTATAGAAAACTCCAAGATATCAGAACGAAGAAACAACACTAACTGCCACTAGAGAAAAATATCAAATAACTTCTAAAGACAAACCTATCCAAATATCACCAGATTTCTTAACACAAATTTGGGGACAAGGGAGCTTGGAGGAGAGTACCAAGTAACAAAAAAAAATCAATGCACATAATAATTACCTACCAAAATATATTTCCAAATTTAGGAAGAAATAAAGAATTTCTGTGATATAGAGTCATTTAAGAAATTCATGACCAGCAAACCAGTTTTAGAAACACTGAGAAGTTAATCAAAAGAAAAAAAATAAAGAAGTCAGTAACAGAAAAAAGAATAGAATGGTGAGAATGAGACAGTGTCTTTCAGTAATAACTCACAATATAAATAGCTTTACAAATGATTCTGTAAGGGTCATAGACCACAAAGTCAGAGACTCTAGAGATTCAAAAGCAGAGACAGGTGCAGTGACTTCCACATGAAAACAGTGCTGGGAGAGGGGAGAGGAAGGAATTCCAAGTGGTTACAGGAAAATTTCAAACGCTGTACATGTGTTTTCCTTATGACCACTGGGGTGATGTTTTCTATGCATTACAGAGGATGTCTGCCATACAGTCACCACATGCTGTCCTGACTCACTCAACTATGTTTTCCTGAAAATCAGAACTAAACAGGAAAAGATTTGATAGTCTAAATCTGCCTATTGCTGTCTTACCTGATTGATGGATAAAAAGATTCTTACGATCTTAGATAAAGAACAATAAAATAAGTAACCATCCAGATTAATTTAGTATTAAGAGAAAGAATGGGCCATGCAGGAGGGGAGACTGGCTAGGGGGCCTAGGGCATGGAATCCTAACAAAAGACCTCACTCCCTTGGGAACCCAGCCAAACAGAACTTGGATCCCCTGTTACTAGGCATCACAATGTAGTGACAGCAGCCTGATGAGCTCACTTGGCCAGAGATACTCAACAAGGAGCACACTGAGCAGCTTCCCCACATAGCCTGTGGCCTCAGAACCCCAGGTAGGGAACGTCTATGTGAAAGCCTGTGGAGATGGTTCACTCCATCCAGATGCCACAGGCCACCATGCAAGGGTGATTTGACCTTAAATGACTCCCTAGGGAGAGAAGGCGTCCTTAACAGTGACCACGTTTGATGAAGAAAATCCCACAAACCCATGTGAAGTCTCCCAAAGCCCAAATACCTATGGGACAACACAGCAATGGACCCCAGAGGAGATTTCACTAGGCCAGGAGATTCCCAGTAGCTCTGGACAGGTCTGCCAGAACTGGCCACAAAAACCCTAGAACACCAAAGAAGTCCACGCTGGGAGCATGAAGTCACAGCCCCCAGGCCATGGGAAACAAAGAGGAACCTAGTGTCCTTCCATGCTGACCCAGGCACCAGTGGAAACCATTTCATAAAAAGCTGTGCTGAACTCCAGGCACTGTGGTCAGTGCAGCCAGTCAGGCCACATGAGCTTCGTGAGCCCTTGGTGCCAGGTTGGCTGGACAGAGAAACCTATGACCATAGTGGTCCACCCTGAGCACTTCCACCACCCACACCTTCACATGGCAGGCCCTGAATATGGGAAGAGCCATCACAAGACCGTATTTGGGGACTTCCTTCTCCTTTGTGGGGCTCCATGATACAGTATGAGATGTGTGGGTTTTGAACAATAAACAGGTGTTCATCACAGAATGGGCAGAGGAGGAAGGAGGAGCATTACTGGGTCTCCTCAGTTGGAACTAGAAGAAGACTTTGGGCTGTGTGACCTGAAGAATATTTACAAAGTGTTAATCCGTGCATTGCTTGGACATCAGAACATCCTAAAATGTCTCATCCAGAAGATGTGTCCATCCCCCACAGAGCCTGGGCCTCTGGAGAGAAAGTTTTCTTGAGCCAATGGCCATAGGTTTCAAGCCAGATGCAGTCACTCTGCCACTGGCACAGACCATGTAGGGGACTTGAACGCCAGGGAAACTCTTGACTGTAAACTCTTCATGCATAAGAAGTGGCACACACACTTGTTACCCTTGAATGTGGGCATCATTCTTTGCCACCAGTTCTCATGATGCCAATTATGGAATGACATGCAGCTCTGGACCCTGCACAGACAGGAAACCCCTTTGGTCCTTCACATCACCACAGTGTGGAACAAGCTGTTGAAGACCAGGGAAAGGCACAAGGTGTCACCTAGGTTAGGTTTCAGGACTTCAATTTGCTCCCTGTGATATGGAGAGGAAGTTATGGGAAAGTATTATTAGTTCCACTACAAAAAACACATCAAATTTTTGCAATGAAAATTGTACAAAAGAATGCATGAATTTTCATCAGGCAAAGACTGTGAGGTATGTTTTGGAGCATGGATGGAACTATCCTTTTCTTCTAGAGTGTATTCTTGCTTTCAGATAGAAAGCAAACAGATTTTCCTTGAGGACCATGTCAGCAGAGGAGACCTAGGGTTTCACATAGAGCCACAAAGAATCCTCCCTGAGCCATAGGCCAGGTTTTACTCTGCAGAGATCAGCTTGGCTTTCAACTCTCTTCACCATCGAGGGATCCTTTACAGAAACCTGAAACTGGACAATTTATCACTGGACTCAGAAGAAGAGCACATTAACTCACTGACTACTGCACATGTAAGGAAGGACTAGGGCCAGGAGATGTGACCAACCAGCACTTTCTGTGAAGGCACTGCTAATTACTGAAATTATAAGAGGAGAAGATTATAGTTTCAGTGTGGACTGGTGGATTCTCCGGGTGCTAATATTTGAGATGATGGTGGGAGAACCTCCATTTCATATTGCAGAGAACTCTGACATCCCTGACCAACATTCAATCACTTATCTCCTGCAACTCATTGTGGAAAGAAAAGTTCACATACCACATGGTCTGTCTGTAGACCACAAGTGTCCTGCAGAGTTTTCTGGACAAGGACCCAAGGGAACAACTCAGTTGGCATCCTCAGACAGGGTTTACCACGGACATTCAGGACCATCCATTCTTTCGGATGATGACTGGGACATGATGGAGCAAAAGCACCTGGTGCATCCCTTTAAACCAAATCTTTCTAAGAAATCAGTTTGGGCAACTTTGACCTTCAGTTTACTAATGGACCTGTCCAGCTCATTCCAGATGACAAGGACATTGTGAGCAAGAGCGATGCATGTGAGTTTTCAGGTTCTGAGTATATCAGTCCTCTATTGATGGTGAAAAAGAATGAATGTGATCCCCATTTTCCAACTGTGCATTATGCTTATGTTGCAATTTAATGCACAGAAAAGCTTGTTACCAATATGGATTCAGTGAGCCATTTCACAATTGTTTGGTGGCTAATTTTAATGGCTTTTTTGTACATATATTTAGATGTAACACTTGATTCTGTTAGTCTACAATCTATAATAGAAAATGCTGTGTATTTTGTTGTTGATAGAGTTGTTTATGATTTGGCTTAACAATGATGCAACTGCTTGTTAACAAAACTTGTGAACACATTCCATTTGTTCAATGTGCAAAGAATGTGTATGATTTTTCTTGTTTTCTATGATACGGGAAGATAACTTGAATTTTCAATAGACGGTCTTTCCTACACTTCTTTCTTTCCAAAGTTTTAACTGTACTTTGGCTACCAGCTTATGTAGTCTTCAGGAAAATCTAAAAGTAACAACAATTTTGAATACATTTGCAAAAAACACATATATTATTGTCTATTCCCTTGTTAAGTTTTTTTTACTAGGATAACAAATATTTCATATGTCTTTTACTAGGATAACAAATGAAATACATGGTAGGATACATTTTATGAGAAGAATTCTTTAAGTCAATTTTATTAAAATCAGAGCTCACATTTTAGGAGAGAGTTGTCAGACATAGCATTGAATTTCATATCATATTTTATGCAATGAACTTTAATATTAACTATTATCCTCTAAACAAGTTAGTATGGTACAATCTTAGGACAATTCAGTTTTAAGTATTCTATCAAGTTTCAGTGTAGAAGATTTTAACATTGTAGGCATTAAATAAAATATATTTTTATCTTTGATGGAGGCTTCATTTATTGGAAATATTACTTTCCAAAGCTTATAGTCATACATTGTCTATCCTTCCAATAGCTACATTTGAAAGTCATGAAAATACTAAAGGAAAATGTTGAGATACAGTCACATCACCATTTGTAAGATATACATGTTCCCATCCATGAATGAAATGTGTTTTAAAACAAAAAGCATTATTCACAACATGCACTTGTAAAGAATTCTGCCATGCAAGTAATTTGCTTGTTATCTTGCTTTAATGGTTCTTTTTCCTAGAGGGCTTCTCAGAATCTTTAATAGTCACATGGGGAGCTGGTTTAAAATGTTTATTACTCATCCTACATGAGAATTTTTTGAGCCTTTGACCTTCATTTTGAGAAACATTTCCTTCAGGTAATTCTTTTGTCCCTAGTGAAATACTTGACAGCAGATCCATGGCACACAATTTTAAGATGGTATAAGCAGCAATATACAACCTTATGAGAATTTTTTGAACAAATTTTAAATGAATAAATATGTCATATGTCTTCCTTGTTCCCTCACCCAAAATCTTATCAGTCTTCTCATAACGATATACAAACAAGGAACATTTTGCTTTCATAAGGTTTTAACTTTCAATCTGGATACCCTTGTGCTTTTAAAATGTTTAGGTAGCAAGATTTACTGTGTGTATTTTGCACAGAATTGCATTATAAATAAGTTCTTTATTGTGTTCAAGGTTTAGTCCTTAAGTCTCAAGACAGTTCTTTTCATGCTATTAAGATTTTCTCTCAAAAGGAAATAAGGCAGTTTACAGCCATAATGGTTGGCATTTTCATGCTCTAGGCAGTGATTTACTTTGCAAAATCCTGTACTCAGACCATTTCATGTAAATGCAACTTGTATGAAATTTGACCTACCTTGTTCAGTGATGGTATACTTACTTTATAGATTTGTTTTGTTATGATTTTTGTTATATGGAATACTGCCTTGCTCATCCCAATGTAATGTCTATTTCTGTATCTTCTTTTTCTTGTTAAAACATGTAAACAAAGGATTTAACTCATTCACCAAAATTTTTTTTGTAAAAAAATGCAGAAAAATAAACTTCTTTAACTTTATTAATAAACCCCATGAAATGCACATCTTGGGCCATAGATACACCAAGTGGCACAGTGCCTGCCTTACAAGAGCAAGGACCTCAGTTTGATTCTCAGGACAAAAAATAAAACTGTTATCACAACATATTTTGCATGCAATATAAACTGTTCAACTGATGTTGAAAATGTTGCATGAACACATGTTCATTAACATGGTCTTCCCTTTTATTGTGCTTTAAATTGATAATGGCCCACAAATTCTAAAAATCATGAAAGTTTAATCCAAAACTGCTGAAATACCATACTATAACAGTGAAATGCCACACCCAATGAACTCCAAGCAGCTAGCAGGACCTAGAATCCAGTCCAGGCCCTGAATGTGGCTTGAAACCCAGAACACAGAGAAACCTTGGAACATATAACTCCCCGGCAGTGAGACCATGCCCTGCATCTGAAATCACCAGAGGATGGACAGGTTGTCCCTTGTTGGCTTATCTGGTTACATCCAGCAAACTTCAAGCAGCTAGCAGTTGCCTGCAGTCTTCTGTGGGAATGAAAATTGGGTAGATGATCCCCAGTGCATAGTGGAAACATGGAAACATCACTCAAAAATCAGAATTATAGGAAAATAAAAAAAAAAAGCAAAATGCAATCTGAAACTTCCAACCCAACCAGAGCAAGCATAGGAGACATGGATACAGGAGAAAATATAA